ATATTCCCTGGACTATCTAGGGAATATAATATGGAACAACTACTTTAGAAGTCAGTGTGGGTGGCTGGGAAGATGGCCGAATAGAAACAGCTTCGGGCCGCAGCTCCCACTGAGATCAATGCAGAAGGTGGATGATTTCTGCATTTCCAACTGAGGTACCCGGCTAATCTCACTAGGACTGGTTAGACAGTGGGTGCAGCCCACGGAGGGCTAGCCAAAGCAGGGTGGGGTATCGCCTCACCCAGGAAGCCCAACGGGTGGGACCAACTCCCTTTCCTAGTCAAGGGAAGCCATGAGGGACTGGGCTGTGAGGAACAGTGCACTCCTGCTAGATACTACGCTTTTCCCACAGATTTCACAAACCAGGAACAGGAGATTCCCTCGGGTGCCTATGCTACCGGGGCCCTGGGTTTCAAGCACAAAACTGGGCGGCCGTTTGGGCAGTGACTGAGCTAGCTGCAGTAGTACTGCTAAGGCAGTGTTTAAAGGGAAATTTATAGCACTAAATGCCCACAAGAGAAAGCAGGAAAGATCTAAACTCAACACCCTAACGTTACAATTAAAAGAACTACAGAAGCAAGAGAAAAAAAATTCAAAAGCTAGCAGAAGACAAGAAATAACTAAGATCAGAGCAGAAATGAAGGAGATAAACAAAAAATAAAAATAAAAAAAACAATGAATTCAGCAGCTCGGTTTTTTTGAAAAAATTTAACAAAGTAGACCACTAGCCAGACTAATAAAGAAGAGAAGAGAGAAAAATCAAATAGACACTATAAAAAATGATAAATGGAATATCACTGCTGATCCCACAGAAATATAAACTACCATCAAGGAATACTATAAACATCTCTATGCAAATAAACTAGAAAATCTAGAAAAAATGGATAAATGCCTGGACACATAAACCCTCCCAAGACTAAACCAGGAAGAAATCTAATCCCTGAAAGACCAATAACAAGTTCTGAAATTAAGGCAGTAATTAATAGCCTACCAACCAAGAAAAGCCCAGAACCAGATGGATTCACAGCCGAATTCTACCAGAAGTATAAAAAAGAGCTGGTACCATTCCTTCTGAAACTATTCCAAACAACAGAAAAAGAGGAAATCCTCCATAACTCATTTTATGAGGACAGCATCAACCTGATACCAAAACCTTGCCGAAACACAATAAAAAAGGAAAATTTCAGGCCAATATCCCTAATGAACATTGATGTGAAAATCCTCAATGAAATACTGGCAAACCAAATCCAGCAGTGCATCAAAAAGCTTATCTACCATGATCAAGTCAGCTTCATCCCTGGGATGCAAGGTTGATTCAACATATGCAAATCAATAAATGCAATCCATCACATAAACAGAACCAATGACAAAAACCACATCATTATCTCAATAGATGCAGGAAAGGGTTTCAATAAAATTCAACACCGCTTCATGCTAAAAACTCTCAATAAACTAGGGATTGATGGAATGTATCTCAAAATAATAAGAGCTATCTATGACAAACCCACAGCCAATATCATACTGAATGGGCAAAAGCTGGAATCATTCCCTGTGAAAACTGTCACAAGACAAGGATGCCGTCTCTCAACACTCCTATTCAACATAGTGTTGGAAGTTCTGGACAGGGCAATCAGGAAAGACAAAAAAAATAAAAGGTATTCAAATATAAAGAAGGAAGTCAAATTGTCTCTGTTTGCAGGTGACATGATTCTATATTTAGAAAACCCCATAATCTCAGCCCCAAATCTCCTTAAGCTTATAAGCAATTTCAGCAAAGTCTCAGGATACAAAATCAACATGCAAAAACCACAGGCATTCCTATACACCAATAATAATAATAATAAAAAAGAGAGCCAAATCATGAGTGAACTCCCATTCACAATTGCTGCAAAGAGAATAAAATACCCAGGAATACAACTTACAAGGCATGTGAAGGACTTCTTCAAGGAGAACTACAAACCACTGCTCAAGGACAGAGGACACAAACAAATGGAAAAACATTCCATCCTCATGGGCAGGAAGAATCAATATTGTGAAAATGGCCATACTGCCCAAAGTAATTTATACATTCAATGCTATCCCCATCAAGCTACCATTGACTTTCTTCACAGAATAGGAAAAAACTACTTTAAATTTCATATGGAACCAAGAAAGAGCCCACATAGCCAAGACAATCCGAAGCAAAAAGAACAAAGCTGGAGGCATCATGCTATCTGACTTCAAACTATACCACAATGCTATAGTAACCAAAACAGCATGGTACTGGTACCAAAACAGATATATAGACCAATATAACAGAACAGAGGCTTCAGAAATAATGCCACACATCTACAACTATCTGATCTTTGATAAACTTGATAAAAACAAGCAATGGGGAAAGAATTCCCTATTTAATAAATGCTGTTGAGAAAACTGGCTAGCTATATGCAGAAAACTGAAACTGGACTCCTTCCTTACACCTTATACAAAAATTAACTCAAGATGGATTAAAGACTTAAACATAAGACCTAAAACCATAAAAACCCTACAAGAAAACCTAGGCAATACCATTCAGGACATAGGCATGGGCAGAGACTTCATGACTAAAGCATCAAAAGCAATGGCAACAAAAGCCAAAATTGACAAATAGGATCTAATGAAACTAAAGAGCTTCTGCACAGCAAAAGAAACTATGATCGAGTGAATAGGCAGCCTACAGAATGGGAGAAAATTTTTGTAATCTATCCATTTGACAAAGGGCTAATACCCAGAATCTACAAAGAACTTAAACAAATTTACAAGAAAAAAAAAAAACCATCAAAATGTGGGTGAAGGATATGAACAGACACTTTTGGGATTCTCCGGGTTCAAGTGATTCTCCTTCCTCAGCCTCCTGAGTAGCTGAGATTACAGGTGCACGGCACCATGCCCAGCTAATTTTTTGTATTTTTAGTTGAGATGGAGTTTCACCATGTTAGCCAGGATGGTCTCAATCTCCTCACCTCGTGATCTGCCTGCCGTGCCCCTCCAAAATGCTGGGATTACAGGCATGAGCCACGGCCCTGGCCCGACAGACACTTTCTAAAAGAAGACATTTATGCGGCCAACAAACATATGAAAAAAAGCTCATCATCATTGGTCATCAGAGAAATGCAAATCAAAACCATAATGAGATACCATCTCATGCCAGTTAGAATGGCTGTCATTAAAAAGGCAGGAAACAACAGATGTTAGAGATGATGTGGAGAAATAAAAACACTTTTACACTGTTGGTAGGAGTGTAAATTAATTCAACCATTGTGGAAGACAGAGTGGCGATTCCTCAAGGATCTAGAACCAGAAATACCATTTGACCCAGCAATCCCATTACAGGGTATATACCCAAAGGATTATAAATCATTCTACTATAAAGACACATGCACATGTATGTTTATTGTGGCTCTGTTCACAACAGCAAAGACTTGAAACCAACCCAAATGCCCATCAATGATAGACTGGATAAAGAAAATGTGGCACATATACACCCATGGAATACTATGCAGTCATAAAAGGATGAGTTCATGTCCTTTGCAGGCACATGGATGAAGCTGGAAACTATCATTCTCAGCAAACTAACACAAGAACAGAAAACGAAACAGTGCATGTTCTCACTCATAAGTGGGAGTTCAACAATGAGAACTCATGGACACAGGTAGAGGAACATCACACACCAGGGCCTGTTGGGGGGTAAGGGGGTAGGGGAGGGATAGCATTAGGATAAATACCTAATGTAGATGGCAGGTTGATGGGTGCAGCAAACCACCATGGCACATGTATGCCTATGTAACAAACCTGCAAGTTTTGCACATGTACCCCAGAACTTAAAGTATATTAAAAAAAGGAAAACAAAATCTCATGTAGAAGATTAAAGAAAAAAAACTCACTAAGGTGTATGCATGTGTAGATATCATAACCATTAATTCAAAAAAGTCCTATAAAAACATTCCCCATTACTGAGCAATTGCTCATTCCCTTTGTCATTAAAACATGTACTTTGATTTACTTCAAAACTGAGGGGACTAGTCCAGTTTTGTACTCTTGGAAATTATGAGTCTTTCTTGACGAAATCTGCAGCATTACACAAAATTGAATCAGATATTCAGATTCACAAGATTTATGCCTCCTTATCTCACACATTCATAAGTTGGATCTTTTCATTTGCAGTTTATCTATATTCTGTTTCATGGAACTAGGGAGCATCCCCAGGCTAACTCTGTAAAACCAATTTGTCAAACTCTTGTACAGATCAGAAAAGTAAAGGAATTAATATAAATATCTCCAGTAATAGGGATACACAAGGGTGATGACAATTTTATTAATAGATTATAGTTGTATATGCTTATATTTATAGATTGTACACCTCACACACACACATAAACATACACACTCACATTTGGGTAATAATGCATTTGCCATGAGTAAGGAACATAAATGACATTATTGTTTGAGTCAGACAAATATTAATTTGAATCACAGCTTAACTACTATTTGTTTGAGAAATCTCAGAAAAAATTAATTAATCCTTCCTAAATTTATTGCTCCTATTGGCAAAATGGGGACAATATGGCATAGCTAGAAGAGTTGTTTTCTTGAGTCAAAAGAAAAAAATATGTATAAACACTTGATACTTGCTAGGGGCTGAATAAATTGTTGAAATCACCACTGTAATAATAGCAAAAGAACTTAATAAGAATACTTAATATGGATAGGAAACTAGGAGGCCCACTGGAAAGACCATATATGCACTATCATATTATCCCAGTTAGCTTCAACTATCTCCAACCTATTTGTTAATAATGGATTTTAAATTATACAGGCCAGACTCCAAACTAATTGTCTTTCTCCTTCATTTCAGAAAAATTTCCCAAAGATGACTTAAAATAGCACTTGAATTGGAGGGAGGAAGGAAAGCCAATATTATTAGAAGCACAACATCTTAAATTTTGAAGAATTATATTTGAGAGGAATATATGCAATAGACAGCTTGGAAGAGCGTTCTGGGAAGCAATTAGATTCACCCCCTTCCAATCTGAAACATAATAACAATGCCTTTCGTTTCTATGGTTCTTTAGAGTTTAAACATGGCTTTTAAACACATCTTTCTCTGAGGAAGCTCTTCCTTTGACAACATCTTCCTCAGTGCTGCCTTCATGGCGTCATTCCGTAAGCTATAGATGACTGGATTGAGTGTTGGAGGTATCACAGTATAGAATATGGAGAATACAAGGTCCATAGTCGATGAGGAATCAGAAGGCAGTCTGAGAAACTCAAAGCCTGCAGCTGAAAGAAAGAAGGTGACTACAAATAGGTGTGGTAGGCAGGTGGAGAAGACCTTGGTCCGGCCCTCAGCTGATGGGATTCTCAGCACTGTAGAGAAGATGCGAATGTAGGAGAGCACAATGGATATCAAACAGATAAATGCTGTAGATGTCGTGAATGCAGCCAGTGCAATCTCGTTAATGGATTCATAAGAACAGGCTAGTTTCAGCATCTGAGGAACATCACAGAAGAATTGCTGAATGACTCTCTTCCCACAGAGAGGTATGGAGAAGTTAATGGCAGCATGCATGAGCCCAGAGAGGCCCCCAGCAATCCACACAGCTATCACTGCATGCCTACAGGCACTGGGATCCATAGTGGTCTCATAGTGAAGTGGCTGACAGATCGCTGCGTACCGGTCATAAGACATCACTGTGAGAATGGCCACTTCTGATGAGGCCAGAGCTATGAAGAAGAAAACCTGAAGAATGCACTGAACAAGAGAAATGTAACCGTTGCCCATAAGTGAATTTGCAATGGACTGGGGGACTGTGACAGAGATGAAGCAGAGGTCCAGAAGAGAGAGGTGCTTTAAAAAGTAATACATGGGGGAATGGAGACGATGGTCCAAGGTAATGACGGTGATAATGAGGAGGTTGCCTGTCAAGGCCAGCAGGTATGTCACCAGAAACAGCAATGCATGTAAAATCTGAAGCTTACGCTCATCAGAAAACCCCATGAGGAGGAATCCACTCATTGCAGTCAAATTGACCATAGTCTCTCTGAAGATACCAAGTGTGACTCTGTTTAGGAAGCCAAAGAACAGTAGGAAGAAAATGCATGACATCTAATATATTTGTATGTCAAGTAACTCAGTTCCTCAGCATGGAGGTACTGAAATGAGATGAATTTATCTCCATTGTGATTAGTTAATATTCAATTTAAAAAATTTAGCAATTATTCAGAAATAGAATCCCTAAATGTGATCAACAAGTCATAAACGTTTTCTGGAGCAGAGTTTGCGTTGTCAAAAGAGGGAGAAATTGATGGAAATGATAAAATCTTTACCTTCAACAAAGTCAATGAAAATGATATTAGCATACCAATCTCATTACATCTTCTATGTGATGCCTTAGTATTATAGTTATGCACTATACAGCTTCATTTGCTAACCAGCTAACATGAAGTTATTGATACCACCTCAACTCAGAGGCACATCTAGAAACAGCTCAGAAGCTAATCTAGAAGAGAGGTTCGCTCAAAGAACAGTCATATTTTTTCCTCTGAAAAGCTCTTAACATCTAAAAAAGATTATATTTGATTGTAATAAACTTTCCATAGAAATTTTGAAAAATGGAATGTGTCAAAATTGTAAACTGCAGATGCCACTGATACCAGGCATTGAATCCTGAGCTTTGGAGATCTTGCAACTAAGTGACAAAGGTTCACTGTCAAAGAACGTTTAATTCTCAGAATTCTTATGACAACTTGGGGTTGGACATTTTCAATCAAATCCATTTGAAGAAATAAAGAGATTTTCTAAAATCTCTGTGATAGGGAGAATGCTAGGTAGTGGAGTATGTATCTTTCTAGTGCTATGTCTCATTGTGTCTTCCCAAATGAAAAAAAAAGAAACAGTATTTTTTTCTCTCTAGGACTTGAAATATATTAGATAGTGGGAGCCCATTTCTTAAAATAACCAACCAAACAAAAGAAACATCTATACCAGATGTAACAATTGTTAGGAGGATTAAATGATGTAACTTTTCCTATTTTATTTTAAATGTGCTATTATTGTAGAATCATCATCATCATAGAATCATTTTGTGTATCAGAATCACTCTGCCAACTAATTTTTGCCTCTTTTTTTTCTTTTTAAATCTGTGCATTTGTTGAAAGGTCAATCAGTATCATTTTCACTGAGTTTCTTTTGCACAAAGACTATTCCTTCATCATTTCAATCCATTTCTTCACCCTTGACCAATGGTATCTAACATATAAGTAATAAGTAAATAGTTATTTAACTGGATATCTACATAATTGATTTCAATTCTATATAGATAAAAACTTAATGGCCTAGTTACATGAGTTACTGCATCGGATTTTGAAGTTACTGTATCTGATATTGTAGTATGTTTCATTTATTAATCCCTAAGCTGTAGGAAACGGTTAAAAATCACTTAAACCAAGATCTTTCTGATTTTGCTGTAATTTATTTTGAGAACTGATTGAAACTAATTTTTAGGAAGTATTTTTTTTTTCCACAAGGCACAGTCTCAGGGATAGAAGGGCCCTTAATCCATCACCGATGGTCACATCCCCTGCTTCACGGCAGTAAGAATCAGAGGAAAACAGGGGTTACTTTCTTCAAAGTTTCTCTAGCTTTCTTACTCCTACAGTTTTCCTGGTCCTCCATTAGATATGGCTTAATTCCCATTGCTGCCAATCTTAATGCCTGGCTTAACTTGCTCCAAATATCAGATGGTAGTTTTGGAATTTAAAATAAATAGATTAAAACAATTCACTTATATTTTAAAACTTATTGTCTCTGGCTTGAAAATCAAGAGCATCATGTTATTTACCACTTCTAATACACATTGTTAGTGTAATTTAAGAAAAACCTCTATCATTTAGCGTCCCCATTAAGGTTTCTCCATAGAGGGAAGGAGGAGAAAAATCATTAGAAAAAACTTGAATGAACACACCATATTCTCCTCTCAACAACTCCCACCAACCTATTTTTATTTTTATTTTCTTTGAAGACATAGAGAATAATTTTTATATCTGATGAATACATGGATAATTTCATCATTTTAATTTCATTAGTTGCAAATTGTATTGATTAATTCATCACTTATCAAATAAGAAGGAAGGGAATCATATACATGTGGAGATACACTTAGGATTAAGGATGTACTGTGAGAACATATAAAACCTGTGTTCAATCCTTCCAAGTCATACCTGCATTAAATACTTTATTTTATAATAAAACTAAACATTTTTTGGTGGAGAGTATAATGATTCTTTGAATGTTATTTGTTTCCCCCAAGCATTTATTTTCTCTCTTCACTAACCACTTATATGCAAATTTTATCTTACAAAACATCTATAAACTGTCTGTTTTTTAACTCTCATATGTTGTTGAAACACTCAATTTTTTTTTGAAAGTAGTTCTCTTTTAGGTTCAGTGGTACATGTGCAGGCACGTTATGTAGGTAAACTCTAATTCATTCCAGTAGCTGCTCTAGAGAGTCCGCATCCTAAGTCTCTTCTTCTCTATTTTCCTCTATTTCCTGGGAGGTCACATTGCCAACAACTTCAGTGAGAAAACATAGGTAATTATATGTTAAATATCTCAGTTTCCTACCTGTATACAAATGAAATTATCTCTAATATGATTTAATTCCACCCATTCCAGGGTTTCAAAAGCAGAGAAAGAGCTCTTTTTTCCTTTCCAAGTCAGTGACCAACCCTATACACAGCCTTGTAAAGGGCATCTTTGCCACAGTATGCGCTTGCTCTCTCTCTGTCTGTCTCTCTCTCTCTTTCTCTCTCTCTCTTTCTCTCTCTCTCTCTCAAGAGCACACATTTTATGTGTGTGTGTCTGTGTATGTGTATGTATAAAATTCACACAAACCCCATGTCTAAAAATTCTAATAATGTTGATTTACTGAGATTACTTTTAATGAACCAGTCAGATTGTTTCACTATTCTCCGTTGATAAATGATAAATTAGAGATAGATAGATGAGAGATAGATAGATAGATAGATAGATAGATAGATAGATAATAGATAGATGTAGATAGATAGATAGAGAGATAGAGAGAGAGAGAGAGAGATAGGCAGATGAATATAGACAATCATAAGACTTTTCCACTTTAAAGAAAAAGAAAAGCCTTCACTCCATACTTAGGACTTACTTATAATGTCCCTTCTCTTTAGAGCCATGCTTTATGAGCAGAATAAGGTATCATTCTGTGCCCAGGCACATTTAGTTCAATTTTGAACCATGTTTATCATGCTTGCCTCATGAGTGCTCACAAACAGCTCCAGCAAATCCACAAATAACTGTCACAATGGAAAATTCAATGCACTCTTTCTATTTTGTTTTTATTTTAAACTTTCTCAAATATATGACACTATCATACAGTTCTTTGTTCTAAAACAGCTCTTTTCCATTGGCTCTATGCCACTTAGTTCTGGTTTTCTATTTCTTCTCTGAATATTTTTTCTTTTTTTAAAATTTTTTTAAAAATGTACTTTATTTTTAGAGCAATTTTAAGTTTACAAAATAAATTGAAAGGAAGATAGAGAGATTACATGCCCCTACCCCCACATAGTCACAGCTTCCCCCATTACCAGCATCTCCCATTGCAGTTGTACATTTGTTATAACTGATCAATTTATATTGACACACTACCAGCCAAAATCCATACCTTACATTTAGGGTTCATTCTTGGTGCTGTACATTCTGTGGGTTTAGGCAATTCATAATGACATGAATTCACCATTTGAATGTCATACAGATCAATTTCACTGCTCTAAATATTTTTTCTTAGTCTCTTTATCTGAGTCTTCTTTTAACATTTATTGAAATTTGACGGTTTCCAAAAATTTGCCCTGACACTTTCTTTCTGTACTTCTGTTTACTGAAATATACTATTGTGCCTTTTAAAGAAGACAGATTAACTATTTTCTTACAGAATAGAAAATAATAGTCGGCTGTTTCGGGCACTACCATAGGTCTTCTGGGTTGCAGGTCCTCATCTCCTACTTCATGGTTGGCACATCACTGCCCCTGAATGGGTCTTTGCCGTAAGGACTCACCTCTTCTTCCAGCCGTCTCCCTGTCACTGTTACCTATTTCAAAGAATGGCACAACTTTGCTTTAATCTGTATATTCAATCAAACACCAAAATTTTATTTGCTTACTACCTGTTGTAGTTATTACCTCTTGCTGTCACACGTACAGATTAGTTCAAACCTTCATTATCTCTGGCAATATTTCACTCTTCAGCTTTATGTAATTCTAATCCAACTTCAGTGCTGTTGTCAGGATAAATGGTGATGCCAATCACATCTTGTAACATTAATTTAGCTTTTAACTCTTTATTGACTTAATTGATTATGCAAGGATGCCCAAAAAGCTTAGGATGGCAAACAGTATCTTTACGATGCTTCCTGACTGCCATTCCCGTATTATCTATCACTGTGACTTCTCCAACCCCATGCCAATCTCCATGTTTAATAATGCTGACTGACTTAATCACTCTTAATAAATCAATCAGGTTGTATCACCATGCTGTGTTTGTTTTCTTAAATCACACTATTCCTCCTGTCTGAGAGTCCTCTCACTAGAATCTCCCCTTGTGGCTGGGCACTGTTGCTCACGCCTATAATCCCAGCACTTTGGGAGGCTGAGGTGGGCAGATCACCTGGGGTCAGGAGTTCAAAACTAGCCTGGCCAACATGGTGAAACCCTGTCTCTACTAAAAATACAAAAATTAGCCAGGCACAGTGGTGGGCGCCTGTAATCCCAGCTACTCGGGAGGCTGAGGCAGGAGAATTGTTTGAACTCGGGAGGCAGAGGTTGCAGTGAGCCAAGATTGTGCCATTGCACTCCAGCCTGGGCAACAGACTGAGACTCGTCTCAAAAAAAATAAAAAATAAAAAAATAAAATGGAATCTCCCCTCATTTGTTTGGCAAATACTTAACTATCTTTTAACACAGCTACATTGTCTCTTTCCATCTAAAATTCACCTGAGTTTAACTGTCGACCCAAGAAGAATTGAACACTGTTTGGAGCCCAGATTGCATTCATTTCAGATTCCTT